GTGTGTGTGTGTGTGTGTGTGTGTGTGTGTGTGTGTGTGTGTGTGTGTGTGTGTGTGTGTGTGTGTGTGTGTGTGTGTGTGTGTGTGTGTGTGTGTGTAGATGGCGTTGAGTTTAATCTTTATGCAGATTGTGTTACACCTCTCCCTCTCTCCGTGTGTGTGTATGTATGTGTGTGTGAATGAAAAGATTCCCTCCCTTTGCCTTCAAAGTGGTGAGATCGACCTCGCTGCAATTATATTGCCTGCCTCTCAAACTTCCCCTCTGCTGTTTCAATTGAAGAGGGGAGAAAAGCGGAAATGGGTGGTTCTTTTACTACACCGGAAACTTCATTTAATTTTTTCTGTATCTGTCAATCTGATGTCAGTGCAGTGTGGCTTACACCTTCGTCATTGTTTCCTACTTATATTAAGCATGACACCAACTTTTTTCTCTGCTCGGAAGGGTGAATTTGTAGTCAGTGCTTACTAGTGCATTATAGTCACCCTTTTTTTCTATGAAGGCATTCATTGATGACGCCTGATGTACTTTAATAAGGGCAGACGGAGGCTTCATGTGCGTAGAATCGCCTCTAGTGCTGTAATTTTCGTGTTTTAATGGACTGATGTGATCAAGTAAACCATTGTTCCCACCGTCCCAGAGTGTGAGCCTCACTGCCCCTTGGCAAAACGGGCTTATGTTGGAGGCTGTTAGACCCTCTTCCAAGGGTTTTCGCTTTTTTCACTTCACTCTGTGCATGTAAATTCAGTTCGCGAACTTAGATGATTAGATTGAGCTATTTGCTACAGTATCAACTTTTCCTCACAAAAGATTGCTACCACTTTGTGTGTGTTTGCGTGTGTATGTCAGATGGAAAGTGCGTCGTTGCTGTGCTCTAACCAACGCGAGCAGTCACGTGGGACACCGCTCTTCTGTGATGCCTACGATTCACATGCAAAGGCCTACTGCAAACGTTTACGTGCTGTCTGCGAGCACGTCAAGGAGTCCAAATATCCCCCGGATGCTATTTGTGGCTTCCCTTTGGTTGAGGATGTCTTCACTCCCACTGACCGCTTCTGTTGCACCACTCGACAAAAGTGCACCCACCATGTGGGCTGGGAGAGGAAGAAACGCGGTCACATCGACGTGGAGCGCTATCGGCAGGTGAGACCCACCTATCCCTATCTGGATTTGTGTCGTTAAGTGCTGGTGGTATAGCACCAAACTCCACGCCTTGAATGTCGCTCATAAGAGCTGACACCGACCATCTGATACTTGGTGTAGTCATCTAATGGCAATTTGACAATTTCAGCTGATTCGGTTGGACGAGCTTCTTCAAGAAGAGGCTCGCCTACAGCGATCCCTCTCCCAGCGCGCGGGAATCCTCGGCATGATGCTAAACCGAACTGTCGACGAAGAGGAGCAACAGCGGGAGAGGGAGTCAAAGCGCCCCACCAAATAGTACCTAACCCCAACCAGCTGATAATACCCCTCCCCTTCCCCGAACCCTGTATAAATCCCCGTAATAAATGATGTCACAACGTCTCTCAAATTTAACCGTGCGAGGGACCGGGACCTCAGTAGGCCATGCCTAATGCCCGCACTTCACCGGATACCTAGCTTCAACCAAAACAAAGAAAAGACGAAGTACCGACACAAAGTTGATTTTAACTGAACAGGAAATGACATTAAACTATATGGCATCTATATCCAAGTCGTCACCACTATCCGTATCAACTTCATCGACTTTCTGCTGCTTTGGATTGGGTGAGATTTCAGCAGAATTGGAAGACTCCGCCGGAGCCTCATTTCCGTCGAAGCCCTGCTCTGCATCAGCGCCATCGTCATCATCAGATTCCGTATCAGCTTCCCTCAGCCAAGTTAACATAGGTGCGCACTTATCGGCGATCTTCCCAGCTAAATTTTTCGAAACGTAACGCTTTGCCGACTGAAAACACAAGTTAGATAAAAGTACAACCAACTTACATTCTTTTCGAACCATGACAGAATAACTTCCTCTTCCACGATGTCATCATCATAGAGTGCTTTGAGAACGTGACATGCCTTTGGGAGCAACTCATCCAAGTGCTTTTCAATTAGGCTTGCCATGGCCCCCAGCACATAGCCCTGTGTCTTGTGCTGCTGATCACCAACACGAGTAAACTGCAAAAAGACTGGCTTGTAGCATTTAATATCGGTCACGATTGTTTTTGGATCCGACAGGAGAACCTCGGCGACGATTAATACAGACCTATTCCCCAAATTCAACCGTTGAGCCTCGTTTCTCAGCTCCTGACCACGTGAGACAACATCGCCAGCTTGTTTGTATTGAGTAATAAGCTTAAAGAACATATTGGCTCTCTCAGTCTCCGTTTTCTCTATGTCGGCATTTACTGTCAAATTCCGCGCCATATCAGACAATTCAGCAAGACGTCTTTTTTGAGCCTCTTCAGTTGTATCCTCACCCCAGTCTACATCCTCATCTTCCGACAGACTCTGGCTATTTCGAGCATCATCTCCAGCAGGTGATTGATCGTCATCTTCAGGCTGTTGATCTTTACCATTCTTCATCTTCTTTACCTTTTTACCTCTTTTCTCCGTCGCTGCTGACTCGTCCCCGGGCGGATTTTTGATGATAAACTGTGTTAAACGATGTCTAGGATCAAGTTGCCCCCGATTCCCACAGGCAGTACAAATCGTGTTAACAACACCAGCTTTGACTTTCACCTGGAGGGTAGTTTCCGGGTTTCCACAATTTGAGCACAGTACAAACTTGTTGATGAATCCGAAAAGCAACTCTTGCAGCCGAGCTGTATCGTGGGCACCGTTGACTATGTACCTGTCATTCTTATCATCGACATGAATCTGGGCGCCCAGCTCGCAGCCAAAGTACTTGGTGACATCTACAAGTCATCGACAAAAGTGTAAACTTACAAATAGGTTTCCGATATAGACGTTTGGCGATATCTGTCACATTCACTATCACCGTTTTAATACCATTCCCCTTTCCTTCAACTTTAGCCGAGAGTTGGGGCATTTTGTACCGATAAAAAGCGTCGGATACGTTCTGGTTGATATTGAGCTCCATTTTTCATGAGAAAAGCTATCATCTGCTTCTAAGTTGTTGCAAGCTTCAACCATGTAACGGTGAGCTGAAGTAATGTAAAAATATAAACAGATCTGGAAGTGGCAGTTGATAGAGCACGCCCGCAGGGGAGACCGGTGCACGTAATACCGAGGTGAGCAACCGTGAAACGCAGTTCGACCAAACAAAAGTCCAGTCAAATTAAACTATTTCGCTGTAGAATTAGCAAAAATTTACAAAACAATAGCGCAAGCAGCTCATAAAAATTGCACTTAAAGACAAGCTAACCCAGCTAGAAATCAAAGCCTGCCTACAGTTGTGGTGGGGATGAGCAGAAACAGTGTAACACAGCAACTTATGCATTAAAAACAAGTTGGATCTTCAAATCCACAATGCTTTCACATTTAACTAAAAGACGCTTCTGTGAAGTTTTTTAATGCATTGGCTGAAACATACATGATTAATAGAAATCTAAGTTGTGCAGACTTATTAACAGACGGGTCTGCAAACGATCTGGATTTGGCATGGCACGACAATTAGTCGCTTAGCGAACACAATAGCATTAATTTTTCAGTAAACGTGCAGTAAGCATTCACCTTTGCTGGCACTCAAATATAAAATGCCCAAAAAGAGCTTTCTTTAGTCAGAGTACCATTTGCATCATAAATTTGCTACATTTGATCGCCGCCGAATTGTCCATGCTAAAATGTGAGTCGCTCCTTATTTGTAAATTGTACGAAACACTAGTGTGAGTGAAAAGTATATAAAACGCACTAGACATTTAATTGGCAAATGCATTTTTATAAAACAAAAAGGCACATTAGAATGCAAATGCTACTTGCTCTTTTCATTTATGTTAAATGTTGCACTACCGCTACTGTAGAATCAATTCGCACTTCTCGTGAAATGCATTTAGCTTCCTAAACACAATAATTTTCACTTTAATTCCTAAAACTCACCAAAACAATTTTTATTGCATTTGTTCGCTCTCACTATTTTGTTGGCTTACACTTTCACCCGCTTCTATCAGAATGCACGAAAAGGTGCGAGTAACCCATGTGATCTTTGATCTTGATGGCCTTCTTATTAACTCTGAACAGATATATACAAATCAGCTGTCCAAGTTTCTATCAAGACATGGCAAGGAATACACCTATAGAGTGAAACGCCTTATGATGGGACGCACGCCCATGGAGGCCGCAAATATAATGTGTAAAGAATATGATCTCCCTATGGCACCCAGTGAAGTCCTTGAAGATTATCAGAAGGAGCTCCCTCTCGAAATTTGGCACACTGCTACACTGATGCCTGGTGTGCATAGATTAATAGAATATCTCAGTCAGAATTCTATCCCAATGGCAGTTGCCTCTGGCTCAACATCGCAACAGGTTCCACACAAAATGTGGAATCACAGGGAAGTGTGGCAGCATATCAGCCACGTTGTCACAGCTGGTGACGACCCAGAGGTACGGATTTTTGTTGTTCCGTTTGTAAAAATTTTTTGCTCCTACTAACATTTACTTTTAGACGCCTGCTTTTCGATGCCAACCCATTTTTCACTTTTTAAATCCTGCATCTTACAATCTGCATGTGTTTCTTTTTTGCATAGGTGTTTCTAGCTGCTGTTTATCTGTACTTTTATTAATACCACAAGTCTGTTGATTAGTCAGTAAACACACTGAAATACACTGCGCTCTTATGTGAGATAAATGGAATAAACAGTTAACAGTCTCTCGTCACTGCATGTGATTTGGTGGTCCATTTGCCTAGTAGCTTCTACCACTTCTTTATACCGGCTGATGTAGGTGCAAAACCTTTATTTCATCACTTATGACAAACAGCATACGAATTGGCCCTCTCTTTGAGTTACTTGTATGACCTGCGGCCACCCGTTATGGGAGACCATTTTTGCAGCGACTAGCATCGTAAATATTCCATTGTATATAAACTAGCATCGGAGATACAATCGGTAGGTTTCATGTTGAATTTGCTTATTTACAGTTAACCTCAAACTAATCCGTTCTTTTGATAATTATCGGCAAGACTTGGTTTATTTGCAATTGTGGAGGTGGAATTAAGTGACGAATCGATGCTTGTCATAGTTGATATAGGTTGGTTTTTCTTACAGGACGATGGTTTGGTTCATCGTCTTTCTTTAAAATACATTTCTTGGTCTTGTGTCCTTGGTTCCAAAAGAAGTTCTTTGAAAGACGTAAACTGCATAATTGTCAAAAACTCAATCATAAGCCGTCTGGTTTTCAAATTTTTTTCTCATTTCTGAAAAGGTCGGGATATCCTAATTTTATGCTTTCATCGATTACGGCTCATTCATTTCAGGTTTTGAGAGGCAAGCCCGCACCGGACGTCTTTCAGGTGGCATTGAAGCGATTCAACGACCCTTCGGCGCGTGAGGAATCGACACTGGTCTTCGAAGACGCCTGGAACGGCGTGCAGGCCGGCTTGGCCGCAGGCATGTTCGTGGTGTGGGTGCCAGACGCTATCGAGGATCCTGGCTTCCCCACCGATTCCAGACTTACTGAGGAAGAGAAGACCCGCATCGTTCGACTCAATAGTCTCGAGGAGTTCGATCCCTCTCGCTTTGGTCTACCCCCTTACTAGATGCTGCAGATCAGTTCTCACCGTCCGTTCTCTATTAAAAACTGCTTCTGATACAAAATGATTATGCCTAGGTGGAATTTAAATAACTTGTTTCTTGGCAGTCAGCTCCCATTGCGCATTCCCAATTTTGTCTGAAAATGTTAATGGTTGGATGAGGTTTGAGCCGCCCGTTGTACTTACGTGAAGGATGTCACACTCTGGAAACAATAACTAGATTCAACTTAGTGTCTTCTATCATCCCATCTACTAGTTGCTGGAGTTGTTTTTCTGTCCAACATCTGTTACAAGGCACGTACTCGATTTTGGACTACTGCTATGACTAAACAATGCTCTTATAAAAGAATATTTTTGGAAAGTGAAAATTTTGGTGATTGTGAGTGGTTTTTTGTGGAACTCTATCCGTAGAAAAAGCAGGTGTGATTAATTGTGTGCCTAAAAAAGCATTTATGCTGTAAACAGGCATTAGACCTTGCACTGAAACACTTATTCCCTTTTTAGTACCAAAGCATTCATCAACATCGCATTGCAGCCACTACAACAGTTGAGTCTATTCGCGTTTCCCTAATTTTTTGTGTGGAAGAGGACGAAAATTACTTGAAGAGGTTGTGACTTTGTGTTGTATTACGGCCTTTTGCTTGTAGCTAATTCAGAGGTGTGGTGTTCATTGTACAATCGTCATCACTAAAATGTTGCAATAATCCACTATGACGGTGGTTGTTTGCTAAAATGCAGTGTATTTACACTCTTGGGCAAAAGATTCATTCCGAATTGGGCTTTTGTTACATGCAATCGCTTACGTACCTTTATGCAGGGTGAGGGCGCGTCCAACTCGGTACGGTTAGTAGGCGCTTGCACGAAAAGGGCCTTGGTCCAGGCCCGATCTACTTAAGGCTTGCTGACATGCTGTTGCATTCCAAATATTCCCGTTAAGCCGTTGTAAGCTCAAGTGGCGTAGCTGGTACGTGCTACCAACATGTAGAATATTCAAGGGACAGAGTTAGCGGAGCCAAGGCTACATGGATGGGTTTGTGTATTGAGGCGCCCAGAGGCATTCCTTAAGGGAGGAGAAGTAATATCAGGGCAGAAGGTGCATTGACGGTGAGCAGAAGGGCTAGAAGACTATATCAGCATAATATGGATGACATGATGTCAAACGAGAGTGCGATGGGTATGTTCTTTGCAGCCTGTGCTACCAAAACGAGTAGCTGAACGCCAGTTTTGCTGAACGACTTGGGGAAACTGAGGCGCCCGCGCATTTACGGGGGAATTGAAACGATGTCTTCTGGTCACTAGGAAGAAGTTGCTTCGCCAAAACTATGTAATAAGAAGTATGACTTGAAATGCAACTAGAAATATTGTAGTACTATTTCTTAGGGAGTCATATGCTTCACTGATGGAGCTGGTCGAGTGCAAAAATTTTTTAGGAGTCTACATGCACATTTATTAGGCATACTTTGCGTAAGCAAAACTTTTTAGGGGTTTTGGAAAATTACTTTTGGACGCGGAGTTTGTTTGAGATAACCATCGTCCTTTCAGAAGCGCCGCACAATTAGAGATGGCTTTAGAATCGGAAGTTTCAAGAAGTTATTGTCTTTAGCACAAGCTAACCTTTTTAGTATTTCTTGAGCATGTTTTCTGTCCTAAAAGCAGACCAAAGGGTTGGCGAGTCCTCGTTTTGGATGAGCGCTCGACAGAAATACTGTCATCTTGTCTGAGAATGCAAGATATTATGGACACAGGAGTCACTTGTACGTATAATAATTAATGCGTATTCCATTACAGTGGTTGAAAACATAACAAAGAAGAGGCGAAATCTGCCTATGGAGGCTATTTATCTTCTTGAGCCATGCAAAGACGTAATAACAATTTCTTTTATTTTAAATCTACATGTAGTCTGTCAGCCGTCTTCTCAGGGATTTTACAAACAACCCAAAAAACTACACGGCGGCTTATGTCTATTTTACGATAGGTAAATCGTTATTTCGGGTTGTCGACAAAACTTTGAAACCCCTTTATAACATTTAAAACTAATGTTTGCTGACTCTTTAAACAAGGTGTTTGTGGAAAACTAAAGACCACTGCTTTGTGTCCCTTTGACCTTAGCCGATTTTTCGTGTCATTATGATTGCTTTTTTTCAATAACTAGGCCAGCCAAACTAATTTCTACTAACTCGGTGAATTCTTTTGTTAATGCTGCCTTTCCAACAGCACGGTTTTCCCATTTTTTAGCATGCTCAGATGAAATACTTAAACAAATCTCTGTTTCTGGCTGTGTGAGATACTTCAAGGCCCTCACTATTCTCAATATCGGCTTCCTGCCTATCGAATCCCACATATTTTCCATAAATTGTCACGAAACGGCATGGCTTTATACATGTCCTGTGGATCGTGTACCAGATATGAACAATCGACTTGAGAGTCTAGCCGAGCAAATTGCTACACTGTGTGTAACCTTGAACGAATATCCTAAAATTCGATATAGAAAGTAAGTCAATTGAAAATTTAGTAAAATATAAAGATTAATCTGTATATTCACACCTTGGTACAACTTAGAATCTGTTACCACACCATTTAAAAACGGAAAAGTATGGTTGAATCACTAAGTTCAAATTCTTATGTTAGATAGACTAATTATTAGTTTAATTGTTTAAATCAAGGCTATTAGCTATCACAGAACCGCATAATTGCTACGTCAGATCACCCTAGGCATCAGTGCACTCTGCACCCACTCGAAAATACTTAATTTTGCATCCCTTTAATATTAAGGCGTTCAAGTAACCTAGAACTCGCACAATTTATACAATTAAAGCTGACAAAACACAAGGGAGATAATCCACAATTGGGCCAGGTGAGTGACGACTACTTCCTCTTTCCTACTTTATCCAGAAAATAAGGTTTCTTGATTTGAATGTGATGCATTACCCAAGTGATAATGTTTCACCACCTTGATTATGGTGGCACTCGATAACAAGTGGGGTAGTCACTCTATTTTAATCGTTCTGCTGTATATAAGATCATGAAGACCAGACAATAATCTCTTTCTAGATACTTAATTTTTTTGGAAATATTCCCAGGGCCTGCATAAAGATCGCAGTATCCTCCTTTTATTGGACAGAGGATTCGATCCACTCACTCCTCTACTTCACGATCTTACATTGCAATCACTGACACGGGATCTGAAAGAAATTAACGGTAACAGCTACAAGTATGTGATGATCTTTTTCCTGAAGCACTAGACACTTTTGAGACAATGATGTTTAGCTAATTTCGGCTTTTAGATATGGAAAAGGTCAGGAATATGAGCTCACAGACAAGGACAAGCTCTGGAAAGAGTTGCGCAATGAACACATCGCAGATGTGTCCAAGTAAAGATTAATTAGTCACTCTGAATGGAGTAAAATTTTTTCAGGTCCCTGCCCACACGGCTTCGAGCGTTCGCGGAGAGCAAACGCCACTTTTTAGCCTCAACAAAGAAGGCGGACGAGATTGCGAGTGGCGCTAGTAGTCTGCGCGGCTCACAGGAGTCAATTAATAGTGTAGGCACCACCTCCTCTGGTGTTGTGAATTATGGGGCTGATGTACCTCCAGACGCAAACTCAAACGCCTCAAGGCTCAGCAGTGCTGCCCATCTACGCGCTCTTCAGGCCATGGTTCATGAGATGCCGCAGTATCAAAAGGAAGCAGCCAGTTACAATGCTCTTGTCTCTATCACTGACTATTGCTTATCTGCTTGCCGGGAGAACATCAACAATATTTGTACTGTAGAGCAGGTACTTTATTCCACCTAAGTAAACAAGTAAACTCAAAAACTTACTGATGAGTTAAAAATTTCAAGCAAAAGAACGAAAACACATAAACCGATGACCTATTGGTCTACTTTGGTGCACATGGAAAGTGCCTTTCCATGAAAACATCACAAACGCCAACTCCAGGATGTATTTCTTTCTTTTTTTTCAACCCTGTGATGAATTGTTTATTGCACACCCCATAGGATCTGGTCATGGGACAAACTGCACACGGCGATACTTTACCAGATCCAATGATGTCGTTGGTGAACGTCTTGAAACCGGACTCAATGACTGAAGTGGACAGATTTCGACTGATCTTGATCTACGTTATAACACAAGGTAGGGCAATCGCTTTACCTAGGAAAAAAAGCAGTTAAATAGACCACGTTCAAACAGTAAATAGTAATTAATAAATCGTAATGTCTGTTGGTCTCAAGTTTGTATGGAATTTACCAGTGGGTGATGTGATCAAGTGAATTTTGACATTCACACAGTCAATTAGCCAGATGTCACTCAAAAAAGATGTACTCACATGTATCATTAAGGAATATTGCCAGATAACCAAGAAAATTGTGCAGTTCCTGCAATAAATCACCGCAGGGGCTTGTCAAATGCCCCTGTGACAGTGCGTGAGCTTACCAGTACGGTATCATTTATTGTGGCTTCCACGACTTCGACCCCACGGTTGACCTCGGCAAATATAATTTCACCTTGTCGGCTTTGTCAACTGAAACTAACCCAAAAGCTAACTTCTCACCCAATTCGCCGTGTAACGCTTCAAGAACATGCATTATGCGATACAAGAAAAATCAACCGCCCAGAACCCGCCTCACAGATAGAAGTATCACGTTGGAGAGGACCCACTACTCTCGATAGCCTTGCCATGTAAATTTCAGATTAATGGGTTAAGACTAATCTTAACGTGAGTAATTAAACCACTCATTCATATCAATTAGGGTAATCGTGAAGGTTGCTAAGCAAACGAATGTCACTCACGATGCATTGACAGATAGCATGAAAAAGAAAAACTGATTAATCCATGAATCCTTTATGAATTGCTTTCAGGTGGTATATTGGAGGCCAATTTGGAAAAGCTCCTCGACTATGCACGACTTTCACTGACTTACAAATCTCTTGTTGCAGCAATGTCCTCCATCATGGGTGCACGGTTGATCTCCAGCGTTGTATGTAATCCCACGCACTTCTTTCATCCACAAGTCTGCATTTCACTGTTGTCTTGGCACCAAGATCCTTCACTTTTCAATAATTCAGTCCCTATAAGCAAAATCCTGCTAAATCTACTTGTCTATTTTAGGATGGATCGTTTGATTCGCCGCTGTTTAGAGGTCTGCCAAGTCTTGCATCAGCCCCCTCCTTCATTCAGTACTATTTGCCCATCAAGGGAAAACGTTTGCGTGACGTAGATGAGAACTCCTACGCTCTCTCGCGATGGGTGCCCTATCTCGATGATCTACTTGAGGTGGGTTAAAGGCCAGCTCACTGGTAAGGCGAATGTACACAAGCCATTTGCATTGTATATACTGAAAAGAATGTAAATGAGACCTAGAAAAAGAAACAGCACTCCCTCGTTGTCTTGAAAAAAAAGTATCTGTCGCAAACACACAGGAATACATTGGATAGAAGTGAGACCAGGAGTAATGGTTGCCGTACTGATTAATCAGGCACTCCTCCATATGAATACTAAAGGAATGATTTTACCATTATCCAGAAATGCATCTCGGATAGCTTGGACTCACAGTGCTTCCCCTACCTTCCGGGTGTTCAGGGCTCCCTGTCAAAAGTGGGTTCCTTTCCCAAACCCACAGATCAATTAGCGGTCCCGAATAGCAGCGACTTACGTGGTCCTTCGGCACGTTTCCGGGCGCCCTCTCCCCAACCTCCCTCGACGACGAGGACTGGCGGCAGTGAAGGCCCGGCAGGGGGCATACCCACTTCACCCGACCTCAGTAATCGACAGAAGCAGCGCTCTGATAGTGGGCGCAGCACTGTGAGTGCTGATGACTCCATCTTCGGCGAAACGTCCATGTCGGACCACTGCGGACCACGACTCATTGTTTTTGTGGTCGGGGGAATCACCTGGCCCGAGACGCGCGTCTGCTATTCTGTCACCCAAAGGGTACATACACACTCGCTGCCATGGTGACAAGAGTGAACCAACATGAGCGCCAAAAGTTGCATTAGCAGTCGCATTCATGCGTGATTCTGCAACAGATGAGAGTGCCCCACCGGTAATTAAAAACATCTGGCAAATTCCCCTTTTTAGTGCATGGAGGCGCGCCTGGCAGCCAGCGACAAGTCGTCGGGTCCAGCAACAGGCGTACATGTGAAGAACCGCGGTCACTTGGGGAGGCACTCACACAAGTCTAGTGGCCTCTCGCTGCCCCCCTCTCAACCCAGCAACCAGCACGTGCTGAAGAACGGCGGTGGAGCCGGGTGGAATTGGGAAGTTATCCTAGGAGGGACAGGCGTTCTCACTCCCAAACAATTCGTCGCAAATCTTCAAAACCTCGTGGAATATTCATGACACACTTTTGGCTGTTTACATGGCTGTGACAAGAAGGGGAAAAACCAACTTGTGCATGCACCAATACTGCGAACATCGGCACCCTTTTGTTCTTATGGGTAGTCATAACCATATCAGAAGGAAAACAATGCCTTTTTTATCCTCAATACAGGCAAGAACCAGGACAAAACAACAAACGCAAATTAAAGACCTTTCACTAAACTACCCTAATAAGGTGTATCTGTACACAAACAAGTCTACTAGTCCGAATTTTTACTGCCAGCTTGTGCAAGCAGTAATCGTGGTCGTTTGTTAAGAGCAAAATCCTTAAGGCGGCAGGCGATTTTGGATGGCGATAAGACAGCATTCGGATGAGAGTCTAGTTGACCAGCAAACTGTTGACAGATAAACCGGTAACCTTGGAGTGATCTCTCAGCAGAATTAGTGTATCGACGTTTTAGGAATGACCATAAGGGGTGCAAAATTTTGACTCCGAGGGAGGATTGCAGTACAAAATAGCGGTCAATCTGAGTGGAGCTAGGATCCCTTAACATTGGGACGTAACGGCAGTCCTCGGTCAAAACCTAAGAAAAGGGAAAGCACCATTCAAACAAACATTGAAAAAAATTCACAGAACAGGATAAACAAAGAGACAGCTATGGTTGCGAAAGACAAACATATTCAGTAAAATAATCCGAAAGCATTTGCGTAGGTGCTGAATCAGAGATAGCAAAGCATGAAACATCAGAATTCCAGGAGGCTGTGATCAATCTACTATATCTACTGCAGAGCTGAAGAGACTAGTTAGACTTAAGACCAATTCAAAACACTTCAATGGATTTTTTATTACAATCACTTAATGCACAAGATAAGGAGCAGATAAGTCCTAATGAAACCCACAGCATAGCGAGCGAGACCGCCGAAATTGCGCGTCCTTGTAAGGATCTCCCTCTTTCCCAGATCAATTATGGACTCTTCAACAATTAGTTCCTTTCGATTTGCCAAAAGCTTTCTCAGCCAAAAGGGAATTTTACCGAATCCTCGCTTGACTATAATTCGTTTTGTGTACAATGTGTGATCATCAATAAGAAGCCTTTCGAGAACATCTTCATGAAGAACATGAGAACTAGGAAGTAGATGGAGGTACTTTCTTACGCATAGGGATTGGGATAACGTGCCCAAAAGAGGGAAGTAACATAATCCCACGAGTAATCCAGCACCTGGGATAGAGAACCGTGCATCTAGTGTGCCGGCAAGGAAAGCGGATCTATCGGTAGTGCTAGCACCCCATTTAATCAGAGAGCATCGTCGACATTAATGTTACCTTAAATAATACTTGATAACAGTTTACAAACATACAGGAGGGTCTCGCTTTTCAGTGATTGTGACAAATTTTTAATGTAAACATCGACCAGCCGTTATTTTTAAATTCGTCATAAACCTTTCTAAAGTGCATAAAAAACTCACCGTTTTCGGGCTACGTTTAACGCCCCTGAGTCTCCTTCTTTTGTTTGTTGCGGTTATGCCTCCTACTCACAAAGGAGGCTTATCTGTGGCCGTTCAAAGGCTTCAGCAAGATTACCTGAGGCTCGTTCGTGATCCTGTACCCTTCGTCACCGCCCATCCTCTTCACACAAATATCTTTGAATGGCATTACTTGGTTTGCGGACCCCCTGATTCCCCTTACCATGGTGGATACTACCATGGAAAACTGATTTTCCCTAAGGAATACCCTTTCCGGCCCCCTTCTATATATATAATTACTCCTAATGGGCGGTTTGCCTGTAATACAAGGTACATTTCTAACTGCTAATTATTCACTTTTAAGACTTTGTCTTTCCATAAGCGATTTTCATCCCGACACCTGGAATCCAGCCTGGTCGGTTTCAACGATCCTTACAGGTCTTCTTAGTTTCATGCTGGAAGACACTCCTACTATGGGCAGTATAGCAACCTCAACTTACGAAAAACACATCATGGCTAGGGATAGTGCCGAATTTAATCTCAAGGACGAAGTTTTTGTAGAATTATTTCCTGATGTCGTTCGGGTAAGTCGTTTTATCGCTTTGTAAACAGGTGGTCCCATTTTCCTGCCTAGTTATTCATTCCTAATAGAGTAGGTTTTCGCATATAACTGAGAATTACGGCGTCTGCGTACCATGATGCTTTGGGTTCCTAACATTACGTCGCTGCTAAAGTAGCTAAAATTTCTTATTGTCTGCAATCGCTCTGCGACATAATGTTTCAGTGAGTTGGGCGTTTAGTGTTTCATTACCCACGTTACTGGCGTATCTGCTGCTTCATTGTGTGATGGTATTGCCAAGCCTCGGATTGAGCACAAGTGAATTGAAAATTCTCTGTTCGAAATAAGCCTATTGGTCCAAAGTGTTTCTTTGACACATCCATTATTCACTCACTGCTTTGCCACCATACCTGATGTACCACTTTTTACTACTCCTCTCCCTCTATCTCGATTGTTGCATTTTCAGAGGCAGAATTTGTTGAAATTTTTGGCTAGTTTAATCCCGCACATTTGATGTCTCATAACAAACTGGTTTATTTGTTAACCGATTCGATTTATACAAACCAATTTCCCACATGGTTAGGCTACTCCATTTCCACTGTTTGTGCTTGATCCGTGATTCAAAACGCCTCCTGCCTTGAAGTCCTCGTGATTGACAATCTAGTGATTTGAACTTTTTAGCTGTAAGTGTCTTCATAGGCTTAGGAGAATCCCTTATAAATACAT